CACTTTTTGTTCTTTATGACAACCTTTTTATTTAATGACTGTCTGCATTTTTTTAATTTTCTTTTTCAGCCTGCTGTTGAAGATTGGAAGGCGGAGTACATGTTCCAACTGTTGTTCAATTCCTCGAACATGTTGTGTTATGAAGACATGTCGCTTGAGCTACGAGAACTGATTGCGGACCTCGGGCTTACTTCCCCGTCACAATCGCAGACGCAGTAACAATCTACTTGGTAAAAACCCTGTGTATGGACAAGAACTAGGGTTCATGTTGTGTGTTGTGTGGTGTCTAAGGTATATAATGTATGAAAAGGCGTTTGTTTTCTGTTTGTTGTGATTTTCGTCTGCTTTTTTGCAGCAATGTTTTATGGACGAATTTGTATCTGTATGTGTATTTTATATAAATAATACATACAGTATATATATGTGTATATTTTTATTTTTGTTGACTTACACGTTCTGTGTGAACTAGCATTTTGACACGCTTATATGTATCTTATGTGTCCCATTAACTGCATTGCATGTGATACCGAACTACTTCGTCCAACAAAAGCACTCCATTTGTCTACAAGTTTGTGCTGCACCTATTTTTTGCACTTTTTGCCGCAGACCCTGCATTCATGTGTGTATCTTGGAAATGCGTTGCTTTATGATACTGCACTGCTTTGCCTAACCAGGTGAAGTGTGTTGCTTTATGATATTGTACTGCTTTTTTGCCTAACTAAGTGCACTGCTTTTTGCCTATCCAAGTGCACTACTTTTTTTGCTTAACCTTCAGTTGGTTATTTTTTTATTGTTTGTATTGTAAGGTATGGGGGGGGGGTTGGACCCCCCCATTTTTTGGTTGACTATAGATTTGTATTTGCTATTTGTATTCCCTGTACTTAACGTATTGCGTGCGTTAGCGCGAGGCCGAGCAGGGGGTGGGATCGTAACCCCCCTCCCCACCCCCCTGTGAGGCCGAGCCTGGAACGAGCCGGAGCAGGCGGCGATGCGGCGTGCCGCGGTGCCGCATGCACAGGCGAGACCGTCACACGCCTGCGCCTCCATGCCTATCTTAAGGGTGTGGCTCTGGGGTTGCGTGTGTCCTATTGTTGGAAAAACAGAATGTCCGCACTACGCTTGTCAACCAAGCGCACTGCATGCGTTAGCGCGAGGCCGACCAGGGGGGGTGGAGAGGGGGAGTCATGACCCCCCTCCCCACCCCCTGCGAGGCTGAGCCTGGAATGAGCCGGAGCAGGCGGCGACGCTGCGTGCCACGGCGCAGCATGCGCAGGCGAGTCCGTCACACCCCGTCGCCTCCCTGTCTATCTTTAGGGGTGTGGCTCTGGGTTTGCGTGCGTCCTATTGTTGGAAAAACAGAATGTCCACACTACTCCTGTCAACCAAGTGCACAGTGTGCGTTAGCGCGAGGCTGAGCCTGGAACGAGCCGGAGTAGGCGGCGACGCGGCGTGCCGTGGCGGCGCATGCGCAGGCGAGTCCGTCACACCCCTGCACCTCCCTGTCTATCTTAGGGGTGTGGCTCTGGGGTTGCGTGCGTCCTATTGTTGGAAAACAGAATGTCCGCACTGCGCCTGTCAACCAAGCGCACTA